CGCAAGATTTTTGGAAGATTCTACAAGCAAACAGTAGTCTTTTCAGTAGTTTCCAAGGCCATGGAACTTGTGCAGCCACCCTTGCATTAAATATGGCTACAACTTGTTGATGGTGACCAAAATAGCATCTTAGGTTAGTTTTTAATGGGATTTTAAGCCTTTGCTTTGCATCAAAGGGTACTGTTTATCGAATCAAGTCCGCTTTCACATCTTCATCGCCCAACCCTTTCTGGCATTGTCGGGCAACATCGCCAATGCCAAGCTTTACTGGTGTGAATACCTCGCTTCGCCAGACAAGCAATGTTCACCCATTCATGCCTGCCAAGCCACTACTCCCATAGTTTATCCTGAGTAATTCCCATGAGCTTGAATTCATGGGCTTGAGTTCATCTATAATGAGAGTAAGATACCAATGAGTATATATTTAAATATTTAAGTGTAAAATGTATGGACATATGCAGCAAAGAAGGATACTCTTTTGTGTATTAAGGGAGACAATGGGGATGGATGTTCGCTACACCCTTTTGATTACTGGCCATGGCAAATACTTGTATGATGTTGTTATGTATGGCTAGCATGGTGCCAAGGCAAAGAAGAGGTGGTATGGATGTGTGTTTTGATATCGTTGTCTTGGGCCAAGCATTGCTGGTCGGCGATACCTACTAACATGTAAAGCACAGAAGATTTATGTTATAAGTCGGGATTATCAGCGATCGATAATTTTATCCCTTTGTGTGAGAAAATAATGATGTGCATGGTGGTGAACCATGTAGATATTGCAAGGTTAGCCATGAATAGCTTCCCTGTAGCCAGAGTGACAATAGTGGCTAGCTTTACCCATGGCTGGAGCATGAACTATGTGGAATAGAAGGAGCACTCCCATTAATACGCCAAGTCACGAAGGGGTAAATCTTATTAAGATAGACTCCGCCATAGTGATGAATATGTGACAAAGAGAGAGGTGGAGTTGTCTCCATGGAAGAGGGACACCAATCGCATCCATGGCCTCTAATATGACAAGGTGTTACACCACTGACAAACGCTGGCCTTTCTTGTTAGACCCACATCGTTAGAGACTGGTCCTAGTTGTTGTTGCTCGTTAGGCACCGCACCACCATGCATGGGCCACCACCAAAGAACCGCCAGCCGTTACTTGATGCATTTTTATCGTTGGAGGTTAGTCATCCCATTCGATCACAGGGTTGCAACTATTACTGGCCTTACACTAATCATACCGAGTTGCGTTGACTTTATTGCAATAATCAATGGGAAACACAAGTAACATGTCTGATGTGGAAAGTAAGTTGTGTGGGCCCTTGTTGATGTGGACCCATACATGTCATCAATCACAAGGCCATACAAATCCATCCTGCAACATTAGCCCCCCCAAGCAAGCAAAGTTGTGACAACAAGTTTCGCTACTTGGCGTTGAAGGAGGCAAACTACTAGAACTTTCTTCATTTGATCGTGGTCATGCTGGAATAATGCAGAAATCGAATAATCAATGTGAATCCTTCTGTCGAAGTAGATGTGGATTGAAAGACTTAGCACTGCCGGGATTCGACTCCAGCCGAATAATCTGCTAATGTTGGAGCAACTTCGATAAAGAAGAGGTTATGTTAAATCTGACCACGCAAAATAGATAGTGATGAGCATGGGTAAGTCCAATATGCCTCCATTGTCACTGATGAATGAGGTTAAAGTATTAGCCAATAAATTTGGTGTTGTCGTTAGGATTTTAACATAAACCTAATTAGATACAGCCCGGGGCAGTAATTCCAATCGTAGGTCTTGACACTATTGGCAAAGTCTCAACATGGATAAAACCAGGCAGGACTAAAGCGGAACTCTGACTAAGAGGCCTAGGATCGTTGAAAATGGTGGAGCTTAAATATATATGCAGAATGAAATCAAGACCAGCTAAAGTAATAGACAGCACAAATGACGCCCATGAATATTCATGAAATTATTCTATGTAGGAAAAATTACTCTTGTGCTTGGCTGAATCCTCCTTTGCAAATTTTACTGAGATAATCTTCTAAAAAAAGAAAGAGTTGGGTGTAATTCAAGCAGTACTCGGCAGTGACTTTGACTGGTGTAGATATAAGGCTGGTGAGCAAGTTTTCAGTCATGTCTTCGCTAGGATTCCTGCACCGGCCGCATTGTTTTTCTTCTCAGTAAAATAATAAACTTTGAGTAGTTGCTATAGAAAAACTTTCTGCACTGTTTACATGTGGTTCAAACCTAAGGAAAATTGAAAACTATTTCCTAGGGAAGTTTTCAACAGTTAGAGAGAAAAAGTAACTTTCTTTTTGAAAAATAAAGAAATTTAACCTTCCCTAAAAATTTCGTTATGATGGTGCATAAAAAGAGCAGATTTTAAAAGAGAGATTTTAAAGGAGATTATATGCAAGCAAGTGTACTAAAACAACATGCACCTCACTTGCTGCCCTTTGATGATTTTTGGCCATGTTGATGCACGACAGGTGGCAAAGTGGTTGGCCGGTGCACGTAATGCTGCCTTTAATTTCCCTTTCTGCTATTCTCGTTGGTTCTGAGCAAACCTTTCAGTTTTCCTCCTTTTTCTTTTTCACAAACCGTTGACCCTTATTTCTCCCTTCTAGACCTCCATTTTCCACCATCTTTTTCACAAAACTCTTGGGTTCCTCAACAAAGGGACCAGATTTTTCCTGAGGAGGCTAGTCTAGTGCGCAGATTTGACAGAATTCTTCTTCTAACCAAGGTAACAAGGGATGTTTGTTTCTCAAAATTTTTTTTTCTCTGTTGCTTTTTTTTTTTTTTTGGGTTGCATGTTATAAATTTCTCATGCTTTCATTAATCTGAACCTTTGCTTTGCTTCCTTTCTCCCTTGTCGAAGGAGGCTTTAGGGATGGCTAATCTTTATTTGACCGATGGAGTACAACCGTACCACGATCCATGGTATAGCTTCCGAGATGGTTTCTCGGAATTCAATGCTTGGTCGACAAAAAGGGCATTTGAGAAGCATTAAGATCAAGTTTTGCTAGAGGCTTTCAAAGAGGGGTGATATTAGTGCAACATGGTTTCCCTTGCCAAGTGACGTAATGCAGGCAAGGCTTGAAAGACAAGATTTGCTGCCAATGCCAATCCATTTTGCATTCCTGTCTAGTAAAATGGAGGATTGGATAGGTTGGGCAAAGGAGATGCTTGCCGAGAACGGCTTTGTGGAAATATTGCGTGCTGTTGGGGTCCTTAAGTTAGTGGCTTTGAGTTAGACTCTGCAGATTAATGGCAATGTAGAGTGCCTCTGACGCTTGGTGCGAAAATGGTGTACAAGCACCCATACTTTCATTCTTGCTTTTGGATAAGTGACCATAACTTTAGAGCGCGTGGCAAACCTGATGTTGTTGCCTATTGTTGGGGAAGAGGATCCATGACACATAGCATTGACACCGAAGAAGTGTGTCACACAGGTGGCTTTGAAAAAGGTGATGAAGAAGAACACAAGTGCCTCTTCTTGTTCATGGAGAGAGAGTACAATATTGACTTCCCAACTTGGATGTGATACGTTTGAACTGGCGAAGGCAAAAATGCTCCATATGTGCGTGCAGCCTTCCTTATAACTTCGTTGAGTAAATTTGTCTTTGGGGGTTTCCTAAACCACGAACTTATGGTTGAGTGCATTCCTCTGGCAATCCGCTTGGTTGAAAGCATGAGGCTTCCTTTGGCTCCTTTTAGCTCCGTTGATGTTGGGTACGTTTTATCACATGCTTGATTTACTTCACTTCGATGAGATTCTTCGTGCTAGCTATTATATCATTGAGTCGAATGTGTGTTTATCTTTGCTCCAAATGTTTATGTGGGAGAGATTTCACCCATATCATTCTAGTCATGTTATCAGCGAGAAAACATTGAAGGAATACCCCATGGTGAAATGTGGTTACACCAGTGGAACGACTCCGCTAGCTTGCTCTTGGATAAGAAAAAGGAAAGTAAAGAGGAAGATAACCCTGGAGGTCAATGGTTTTCTAGATGACTATGGCAGCTTTAATTTTCATGCATACAAGATAATGGTAGGGATGTTTGCTGCACTTGAGGTGAGCCTTCTTGACAAGACACTCCCAATGGTGCTTGGGAACCAGATTGTGGAATTTACTGCGAGAAACTCAAGTCATTTGGAAATGTTGGCAGTGATTACGCCATCCATGCTGCTGTGCATTTCATGGCAAAGGACATAGGGCTTGGAGTGTTGTTGCTTAGAAAGAGTGGCTCGGCAGTTTCGTTATGATTAGGATATTCCTCCTGTTCCTTCCTCGAACAAGACAAATTGGAACAAGGCCATGCGGCCTTACATTGATGAGGTTGCCACAACCATGTGGAATGAGGATGCTGCCACACTTAGGTTTTTTAGCACAGCTAGAATGTCAATTATGTTGTCACTAATGCTAGGGTATTGGGACACATTGTTGAAGAGGTTTGAAGCTTTTATTCAATCATTGCCAAAAGTTATGGAGTACAATCTTGCTTCCCGAGATTGCGAACATTTCTTTACCCATAATAATTCTTTCTTGAGTTATTGCAACAGACATTCTTGGCGGTTCTTGACAAGAAGGGATAATGGATAGTGGGCACCAATTTACTCGCCCGTTCCTGGTGTGAGGAAGGAAGAATATGGCCAAGTTGGTGTTGTTGCTGAGGAACTCGGCCAGGAAGTAGCTGGCAATGCTAGAGCTAGAGGTAAATATACTCTCTTGTTTTTTTTTTTTTTTGGTTAAAGTACCATTTTGGTCCCTCAACTTTTCACTTTGATACCAAAATTGTCCCTTAACTTTAAAAATATCAAAATTATCCTTAAACTTTCATTTTCGATGCCAAAATGATCATTCCGTAAGTTAAATGACAGGTGGCACGTTAAAATGCCACAAAATCATATTCTTAAAAAAATAATAATTACGTGGAAGACATATCACGCTAAAAGTGATGGGATGGCATTTTTTTTTTCCATGTGTTATTTTTTATTTAAATAAAAATAAATTTATAAATTAAATGAATTTAAAAATAATTAAGTTAATTAACTTTCATTTCGTCATCTTCTTCTTTCTCCTCATCCTCAGCCTCATCCTCGGCATCATCATTTCACCGTTTATCTTTTTCACCATTCTCTTCGCCATCCTTCTCATCATCTTCACCATCCTCTTCCTCTTCATCATCTTGGTTTGTCATGGAACCTGATGCTGGGTTTTCCTCTTGTTCATCCTGGTTCTTCGTGGAACCCAGATTTGGGTTCCGCAAGGAACCCAACTCAATGTTGGATGGTGGAACCCAACCCGGTGCTAAGTTTATTGAGGAAACCATTTCCTTGAGGAACTCAGTTCTGGGTTCCTCGACGAATCCAGAACCTAGGTTATGCAAGGTTTATTGAAGAACCCAGTTTCTGGGTTCTTGGATTCCTACAAGAACCTAGGTTTTGGGTTCTTCAAGGAACCCAGATCTGGGTTTCGTGAGGAACCTAGTTCTGGGTTCCTGGGTTCCTCGAAGAACCTAGATTCTGGGTTTTGCGAGGAACCCTTGACAAACCTAGAACCTAGGTTACACAAGGTTCCTTGAAGAACCTAGTTTCTAGGTTCCTTGCGGAACAAACCCTAGCATTTCTTCCAGTAATTTCACGATTTCACTTCATTTCCATAGCTCTGAGCATGAAATTCATATTCTTGGTGATTGGTTTGACCAATTTTGAAGTTTGGGATGGTAAAGCTAGTTTTTCTTTGCTTTATTTCTTTAGCTTCTTACTTTGTTTGGTTGCTGATAAAATATTTCTGATCCCCTTTTTTTTTTTGCTTTCCGTAGAAAAGTTGTTTCATTTTGCACTTTGTGAAAACTTAGAATGAGTTTGAGTTTTTCATTTCCTTTTTCTTTCATTTTTCATTGAATTTCATCAGTATCTTCCAAATTTTGGAGGTCAGTATTGAGTTCGTGTTTGTTTTCATTTGGCCTTCGAGAACTCAATTGAAACTGGAAATGGAAAACAATTTTCCATGTGGGCCCCACAAAAGTGTGAGCAATTTGACATGGAAAAAACATGCCACAGTAGCAAAATTTTCTTTGCTGGACTTACACGTCATTAAAATTCAAAAAAAGCAGTGATTTTGTGGCATTTTAACGTGCCACCTGTCCACTTAACTGATGGAAGGACCATTTTGGTATTGAAAATGAAAGTTTAAGGATAATTTTGGTACTTTTTAAAGTTGAGGAACAATTTTAGTGCCAAAGTGGAAAGTTGAGGGACCAAAATGGTACTTTAACTTTTTTTTTTTTTTTTTGTATTAAACTTCTGTTCTTCTTTTATCTGGAAACTTGGCTAGATCAAATTAGGGCTACAGAACACTCTGTTTTCATACTTTTCTCATGACATTGTAGAAGAAGCTGATGAAGTTGCTCCTCTGTGTTTTAAAAGTGTTGAAACATTCTGGTTGAGCTCCCCATTACTTTGTTGCAAGCTAAGGGGGTGTGAAGGTGTCGTATGGCCCCCCAAGCATGGCAAAAAAGTTTGAAATAGCAAGGGCGCAGCCGAAAGCATCTATATTGATGGTACGAACTTTTACGCATTCGCACAAGCTGAAAAATGCTTCAGCAATCGTTGAGGTCTAATTGTTGACTTGGTTGATCTTTTATATTCACAACCACATCCCATCAACGAACTACCTTCTTTTAGGGCTAGCAACTTCGAATTGGTCCCAAGAGGATTTATACCAAGGAGGAACGTTGACGCCGCCATCACTGAAAAAGGTACTTGAAACAACCCAATCGGATAGCTTGCGTTATGGTACATTGCTTGGCTAGACAACGTAATTCTTTGTTGACCAATTAGGCCCTTATCTACTTCACGAAGTGTTGAAAAGGGCAAGGCCAAGGCTGTGGTCAGTGCCAATAAGGAAAATGAGAAATTGGTCACTGAGGAAAGCAGCTCTAATTCCAACAATGGTAGTGATGACAAATTGAGCGATGACAAATCGAGGGATGACGATACCTCATCTGAGAGTGAGAATGGTTCCGAACAAAAAGGTAAGAACGCAGGCTTCCAAAGCAGCATAGACATAAACAGAGCTACCCTCGAAGAATTTGAGTTGGGCGTAGGCGATGCTGCGAAGAAGTCTATTCTCGGTAAAAGCAAGGTGGATGCTGGGAAGACATCCATGAGTTCAAAGAAGAAGATTGCCAGCCCTATTAAGGTAGAGCATGATGATGAGCCATCTTTAGCTCCAGCTAAGTCAAGTGAGGCTAATAATTTTGCTGTGAGGCTACTCAAGAATCTGAAGGGAATGAAAAAGGATAGGGACGTCTCACTGGCTTGATTTGGCTTAGTGCCGATGGGCAGCTTACGAGTTGTGGGTAGGTTTGCAATGCTCGCAATGTTGGAAGCATAGGTGCGCCACCTGCTAGACATCTTTTCGAATCTAATGACACGCAACAAAGCCAAGAAAGTAGGGCATTTTACCCCTAAATTTATAAGTGTAGGATTTATAACCCTGAACTTAAAAGTATAAGAATTTATAACCTTGAACTTTAAGGTATAAGGATTTATAACCCAAGTTAACGGAAGATGTTAAGTCTCAGTTAAAAGAAAAACTAAGTAGTTAGTCCTCAAAGAATACAAAAGCGATTAGTAAAGTCCCAATAAATTCTAATGGCAAATATAGCATCATATACAAGAATCATAATAAACATTTGCAATCAAATTGAGCAAGTGGTTCATTCCGAAGAAGAAATTCTAGCCGAAATAAAAAAAAAAAAAACCTTTTAATTGAGTTAAGGCAAAGAATCCAAGAAAAAGAAAGAATAAACTCAATAATACAACTATATAATAAATAAATTAGATTTAGAGAACAAAGAATTAAAGAATTAAGAGAAGTTGTTGGAATACTAAAATCAACATGAATAAGGAACAAATAGATTGGATTAACATGTACCTACTTAATACATTAGGTAGAAACATAATTCATACAAAAGATATTATTATCATTAATAAAATTCTTGAGATGGAAACTATCAATGCAAATACTCTAAGAAAAATTAGAGAAATGGGAAAATCCCTTTCTCCAGAATTTGATTTTATCAAAGAAAAAATAAATGAAGTAAAAAATTCTAGAGATCTAAAAGAAATAAAAGAAAAAACACAGTCTATCAAAGACTCAAAAACTTTGATATCTCCAGTTAAAGATATAGAACTTAAAGTACTAAAAATTCTTAAGATATTAAAAGTGATTACTAAAAATTTTGTAATAAAAGCTTATAGATGTATAATAAAATAATTCCACAACTAGAAAATGATATAGATAAAAAATTTTATAAGATCCAGACACAGCTCAAGGATTTACAAGATACCATAATATCAATTTGTAGTAGGCGTACTATTATAGATAGAAACGAAGGATTTAAAATAATTCCTAAGATTTTCACTAAAAAGCCTTAATCAAAAGAAATAACACTTTTTATGTTAAAGACCCAAGAAGAAAAATTAAAAGAACTTGGTATAGAATCTAGCATAGGCCAAAGGATGAAAACATGAAAATGAATACTCAAAAAGAAGAAATTGAAGAAGAAAGCGAAGAAGAAAAGGATGAAACACATCCTAATATAACCTCAACAGAATTTCCAATGCAACTTGGTATAGAATCTAGCATAGGCCAAAGCTATAAAAAAAAAAAAAGGAATTTAACACATGAAGTAATTTATGATAAAAAGAGTAGGAAATTTGGGAATCAATCTAAAATTGAGACTCTAGTCAAATTGCATTACTAACCTAGAAAAGGTCATTAGTGACTAGGCTCAAGCTACTTGGATAGCCATAGCAAACAAAAACTGGAATGCCTTACAAGTAGTCAGATTTATTGAAGTCACATTTAAAGGAATAGTTCATGACTGGTTTGCCAATCTAAAAGAGGATGAAAGAAACACTATCATAAGTGGAAATCCTACTTCTGAAGAAGTTAATGAAAATGAAGCAATTCAAGACATAATAAATTAATTTGAATCAGCCATAAGGAGAGATATTTTAGGTAAAAATTGGGAAGAAAATAAAGAAAAAGAAAAAGGCTAGAATTGGAAGAATAACAGTATGGAATTTGCAAATTTTAGAACTATGTACTCTTTGTGAATTAGATCAATACATTTGCCTATTCCAGAAATACTACTACATGGCTTCAAATCATAAAGTGACTAAAGGCTTACTAGAATTGTTCTTTGGAAAAATTCCTAATCCTTGGGGATTAAAATTGGTAGAAGCCTATAGAATATATGTAGAAGATAAGAAAGATACTTTAGGACTAAGGATTTGATTCACTAAAACCAAAATTAATGAATGGTGCATAGAAACCTATAGTCAAAACAAACTAAGAAAAAGTATGAAGAAAGGACTCTGGTGCCCTAAGAATAGTACTCCATTCAAATTAGGATGTAGTTACACTAACTACAATAATAGAAACAAAAAATTTAGAATTAAAAGAAGTAATAAACAAAGATTTAATAAAAATAAATTCTTTAGAAAGAAAAAGAGGTATTTCAAGAAGACCAAAACTCCAAGAAAATATAAAAAGAATTCTAAAAAATGCACATGCTGGTTGGTAAGGAAGAAGGACATTATGCAAATGAATGCCCTAAAAGATACAAAAGAGAAAGTACAAGAAACCTAAAAATTTATGAAGAAGAATTAAGTGAAATAGATACTAGCTCTATAAGTAGCGAAGAAAGTATATATGAAATTGAAAGTTTATACACTTCCAATAGTGATGAATCTGAATATTGAAAAAGGAGAAGCTTATTATGAAGAGTATGAACGACATGGAGAATATAGTCAAATAACTGTATTCGATAAAAGTAAATATAAAAGAATTAGACAAAAGGAATGGACCTTGCTTTAGAAAAGGGATTCAAGTCTAATTCCTTTATAAGTAATCCTTTTAAGAGGAAAGATATAGTTTATTATGGAATATCCACGAAAGAATATAGTATCCCTATAAGAAATACAACAGGAATAATAAATATACCTTTAATTATCAAGGCAAAAATAGAAAGCAAATTGTCAAAAATCAAAGAAACCGATAGATCAAGATAGGTTTCATCCACATAGGAGGAATGCAAATAGTTATTAAAGCTCATTTTAGGGAAGGGATAAACACCACTATAAAATTCGCTTTAATAGACAATAGAATCAATGATAGAAAGGATGCTATCCTTGGATTAGTGCAAGGTAACCTTAGTTACCAAAAGCTTATGTTTACAGTATATCCAAAATATGTTGTAAACATTAATGATAGAAATATTAATAAAACACTAAGTTTAGCACATGAATTTGCTAGAGAAAACTTTATGAAAGATGGATCAATGCCATATAGTATTTACTATATGATAAGTTATGCATTGACCAATAGTTATCAATCTAATCCTTTTAAAGATAAAGAATACATCGAACTAGATCCTATATCCTATGTTCTCGGAAATAGGACAAATTCAGAAATCGAAAATGATCATTGAAATAGAACTACCCAAAGAATGGGAAATAGACATTAGTGAAAAACCACTTTTAATAAAAGAAAGAGAAAAACCAAGACTAATAGCATATGAGTAAGGAAAACTATTAGTAAAGATAGAACTTGAATCGAGCCATAAAAATAGTATAGACTTAGGAGCTTTATGCTATCATAAGAAAGATAAAGAGGTTTTGACCAAAATGACTAGTATAAAACATGAGGCGGTGTTAGATACATTAAAGATTCCTTCTAGGCATTTCAAAATAAAAGGAGACTATTATGATGGGAAGGAATGGCATAACATATCTATCCTAATAGATACAAGAGCAGGAGGAACACATATTCATAGTGATATGATTCCACACTTATAAAGATTTGAACTCACTAAACCATATACATATTACAACTTTAATGGTGCAATGGCCACAGTACATGAATATGCTAAGGTACCCCTTCAAATAGAAGATAAAGACAAGATACAACATAAAATTACTATAACAACTCATGCTGAAACATAAATGAGTGCAAGTACAGAATTGATGCTAGGAAACACATTCTTAACATCAGTATAGCCCTATAACATTCAAGAACATTGTCTGAAAATTACCTTAAGTGGAAAAGAAGTAGTTATACCAAGATACTATGAAAACTATTATCTATAGCGTATACATATCCATTGGAATTAAGTATGAAGAATACAAAACTGAATTCTTTCATGCTTTTGTAGATACTGAATTTGGGATATGCTTGGCAAAAACCAATGTATTCCCAAAATATTATTGGAGAAACACCTCTCAAACTATGAAAGGTGTAGCCATAAATGGAAGTATTATTCAATATAAAACAATAATAGAAAGAGTTATTGCCATAATTGGTGGAACTGAAGTTATAATTCTCCGAGTCTACGAAAGTAACGAACATGGGAATGATATTCCATTAGGAAATAATTTCCTAAGTTAATTCAAGCAATATGTTCAAACTGTATCATATGTAAAATTTTATACACCTTGTGGACATTGGCTTTTTGCCTCCAGAATTTATAATGCTTACACTAGGACAACCAAACCATTAAATTTTCGCAGCCAACGTGGTGAGGATAATAGAAAAATTCGATCAAAAGAGATTAAAAAACCAGTGTTAGCATTATGGAATAATGAAAAAATACAAGAAGAAATAACCCTAGAATCTATTTCAAAAGAATTAAGAAGTAATTATGGAGTAGATCCTACAAAACTATGGGGAATCAATAAAACTTATGCCACAATAGAATTGATAGACCCAAAAACTATCATTAAAGTCAAAACAATGAGGTATAGCCTTGAAGTTAAAGAAGAATTTGATAAGCAAATTCAAGAGTTAATAGCCCAGAAGATTATATAGGTCTCAAAGAGTCCACATAGTAGTCCTGCCTTGATGGTAAGAAATCATAATGAATTAAAAAGAGGAAAAGTGAGAATGGTTGTCAACTATAAACAACTTAATAGCAAAACTAAATTTGATGGTTAAATTTTACCACATAAAGAAACTCTTATCAATAGCATTAGGGGGAAAAATATGTATTAAAAGTTTGATTGCAAATTAGGATTCTAGCAAATTGATCTAACTCCTGACAGTATCCCACTAACATCCTTTAGTGCTCTTATAGAACACTACGAGTGGTTAGTAATGCCTTTTGGATTAAAAAATGTGCCTCAAATACTTCAAAGAAGGATGGATATGTATTTTCTTCCATCAAGAAATTTTGCATAGTTTATATAGATGACATGCTAATCTTCTCTAATAATAGGAAAGAACATTTATGTCATCGTAAGAAATTTGCATATTTATGCAAGAAACATGGAATATTACTTTCTGAAAAGAAAGTAGAGATAGGAAAAACCAAAATTGAATTCCTTGGATTAACAATAGATTCCACAAGAATAGAATTACAACCTCACATTAGTGAAAAGATAGAATCTAAAGAACAAATTCAAAGGTTTCTAGGAATACTCAATTATACAAAGCAGTTTATTCAAAATCTAGCTCAATTAAGACATCTTTTGCAAAAGTTGGTCAGGAAAAAGGAAAATCAACAATGGGAAATTTATCACACTAATCAAGCAACAAGAATAAAAGAATATTACAAAAACCTTTCTAGGCTACAATTGCCTAAAGAAGATGAAGACTTAATTTTAGAGTGTGATGCCTCAAATTTTTATTGGGGAACCGCTTTGAAAGATTTTCAAGAAAAAGTTCGTAGATATGCTAGTGGTACATTTAAAGGATGTAGAAACTAGATATCATTCAAATCATAAAGAGTTATTGGCTATTAAAAATGGAATAAAAAAGTTCAGTTTCTTCTTATTACCAAAACATTTTAAGGTTAGAACTGATAATACTCAAGTTAAAGGATTTATTTTTAAAAAATTACCTTTAACACCAGAATATAAAAGGTTAAATAGATGGCAAACTTTCTTTGTTGAATACAATTTTGAAATTGAACATGTCAAAGGAACTAATAATTGTCTTGCAGATTTCTTGAGCAGAGAATGAGCTAATGGATGCAATCTTGAAACTCCAAAATAAAGGGAAAGACCTTATTCTCAAAGGTCAAGAGATACTCATTGAAGGCAGTAGCCAAATAAGAGAAGGCCAAGAAATAATTAATGAAGGGCATAACCTTATGGATGATGGCCAAGAAAAAAGTATTAAAGGCCATGAGTTATTAAATAAGGGACAGGATGCCCTTGAAGAAGTTAAAGAGCTGATAGAAAAATTAATGAGTTTTGAAGTAATTACTACTTTCGGAATCAGCTCTAAAGAATCTAGTCAGATGGCAAGCAAAAGCTCCCAACAAGAGCTAAAAGAAAATTTTTAACAAGGTGATCCTTTAATTAGGTTACTTGGAGAAAGTTCAGGGAAGTTTGACTATTATGTCAAATATTCTCCCCCAGAAATATCAACATTTCAAGCTAAAAAGCTGGCTATTCAAAATGCTAAAAGTCATAACTTTCGACCTGATTACTCAGGAAATAAAGAAAAGAAGTTTATAATAATAGACACCTTGTCAAAAATGACAATGAGTGAAGATTATCTACAGGAATATTGCAAAATTTGTAAAATGGCGTATTCAATAAGGCCCACTGAGAATTGCCATCCTATCCATGAAGGGTTTATCCTAGAATTAATTTCATGCAGGGTGCAAACCTAAAAGCAATAAAAGAGTTAATCAATTACAATTTTGTAAACTGTATTTATCTCTCAAAGGATAATGAAGAAGTTTCAGAACTTCCATAAGTTATACACCAAGGAGTGAAAGAATTCAAAACTGGCACCAAAACTCAAAGGGTAGTATTTGTCAAAATCTACTCTGCAGCACCAGAATGGGAGAAATCTAAATATTTCCCCAATCATCATATAGTTCAAATTGGAATCCAGTTCAAGAAAATCAAGGTAGAAGCAAATGAAGATCAAATATTTCAAGACTTTGAAGAGTCTCTTTGTGGAATCGAGTTCATCCAAGAGAGATAAGCTCTAGGATTCAAGGTTTTACTCCAGACCTTTGACAGAATGATAGAGATGAGGAAGACATGGACATATGGCTTTTCCAAAGAAATCTCAATAGTATCCACTGGTGCAAGATTAATGACAAGCATCAGCCTATTCAAAATAAAGTACAAAAGAAAGGAAATCTTTGAAAATATGGTCTTAGCCAGTATAGCAGTCCATAATAGACTATGCAAGCTGTTAAAGCATGACAATCATTGTGGTTTCTGCTACAAAAAAGAATCTACAAAAGGAAAAGCTAAAGCCCCATGTAACGAAGGGAGCACCTCTTCAGACAGTGAGAAGGATCTCATCATCCTCTGAAGAATCCACTGCAAAAAGACGTAAGCTCTTACGTCACTAAAGAAAGACAAGAGCATCTATAAGATTCCATGTAATCTACTTTAGCAAAAGCAAGAAGTCTGGATCACCAGACAATAATGTAAACTTTAATCGTCAGCAATGACAAAAGAAAAGATTCTAAGGAGTGTTATAAAAAGCCTTCTATAAGTTGTAACAAGTATCAAGCATTTGAACACCCAAAAACCTTACCTGAGTACCTTCTACCATGTATCTGTAAAACACCTTTCAAGAGGAAAGGGAACCTTTCCTTTCTCATCTCAGAAAAAAAATCATGTTTTAGAAAATCCTTGTGCTTCTATCCTTCCTAATTTCCATCATAAAAAATAATAAGAATTTTTTAAGATATTTAGATAGCAGTGAGGTCACTAGTTCTGTTCAAATACTTGTGTAGCTACAGTGTGGCTTTGAAGGTTGAACGAAGGAGGCATCAACTTGATCAAAGGCTAGACTAAAAAATTTTTAGGTATGATTCTAACTCATTCTTTTTATCATGCGGGAGCTAGGTGGGCATAGAAACATTCATATTATTTTTTGACATAATTATTTTTGAGATTCGAAATAATAGGGAAGTACCTAACCTCTTCCATTTTAAATAGAAAAGTTTGTATTAAAAACTTATTTGTAATACTTTAAGACACTTAATTTCATTCAAGAAATAATTGTAGATAAAGTGGTTTATGGGCATCAATGAGAATATTATAGAAATAAAATAGTGAATATTTTAGAAAAAATAAGTAATGTTGAAGATATAGATGATTATTATCTCTTAAAAAAATCTCAAAAAGTTAAAGTGAACAATTGCAAATTTAAACAAAGATTTGAAAAGACTTAAAAGAGCTAAACAAAGACTATCTCTACTAGCAATTTAATACATCTACTGAACTTAATATACCAGCTATACATTAGTTTGTAGTCTAAATTAGGTTTCGAAAACCCAATAAAATTTTTGGTATCAGAACCATAAAAGGAGAAGTAAAGTTTTGTGAACAACAAATAGATATAATTTGAAAGATTAAAAAATTAAAAGGAATGATCGCTTATAGAACTAATGAATTATCAATGGAACGATATATTGAAGAGCAATAACTCTAGAAGAATTAAAATTTTAGCAAAATAAAATAAAAATTAGTTCTGAAACAAAATTAAATTTAGGGATTAACGTCTTAATTTAACAAAAAATGAAAGTTGAACTTAATGGTCAAGACCGTGAAATATTTGGTCAAAGGGCAAAAACCCTCAAACTTGATAAGTTAAAAGGTGAATAACCCTAACTTATAAATTGAAGGACAAAATCCCTTAAACTCGAAAAGTTGAAGGGCAAAGCATAGGTATATGCCAGAAAGTGGTGGTTGAAGACACCTTCTCGATCCTTTGTGCAGCCATGCGACATATGGAGGTAACTTATTTCATTGAAATGAATGAGGACTTCTTCTATCTGTGTAGGGATGCCATTGATGATGCTGAGAGCATAAACTTCGAGGTTGATGCCATCCGCACTCACTTGTTAAATCTGGTGAAAGCATACCTTGGGAAGACTGAATTTGGCATGGCCGGAGGCGATATAGCTGAGAGCTTGGATGAGCAGATTAAGAAGCAAGCGAAGCATGTCGAAGAGGTGGAAAAGTCCTTGGCCAAGATGAAGGAGCTTGTACTCAAGTTGGAAAAAGGATTGTTGTTAGCCAAAGCATACTTGAAATCACTCAACCAAGAAAAGGAGCACCTGAGTTCCAATGGTTTAGCCAAGCTTCGTCAAACCTGCATTGAAACTGCCAAGGCTTTTAGGGATGAGCTTGGTCCCTTCTTGTCATGAGCGGCCATGTGTCCCAACTTTCTCTTCGTCTTTCATTCTGCTTTATTTATGGTTTGTTGTTTATTGGCGTCATTGCCATGATGTAACCCCCTTGTCATGTTTGGTTCAGGTTGAACATTTTTATTTCCAACAAAGTCTGGACCTTGTTGCTTGCTTATCTTAAATAAGGCACCTAATTAGATATATCTGTGCTATTATGAAAACGGATCAAGGAGGTTATTGTACTGTATTCATATTTCTTCTTCTCTTTTTTTTTTTTTCAATTTTCTTTTTAAAACACTCCTTGTCTTTTTACAACGATAGAGTGAGATGAAAGGAATACAAACAGGCTAATACATAAAGTGTCAATTACAATAAGAGAGTGCTATTGGCACCTTACATTCAATGGTATAACATAGATGAAACTAATTCTCTTGGCTGGAATAACTTGCAACGCCAGAGGTAAAATTGCAAAATAAATGAAGCCTAACAATAGTATCGCTTGAGCCATTTAGCATTTATGAGGTTCGATAATGATTCTCTTTTATAAGTTTTGAGATGATAATATTCGCTGTCATGTGCCTCTGCAACGATGAAGGGACCGTCCCAATTTGCAACAAACTTGGATGGACCAGCAATGTTCTTCCTCACGTGGTTGAAAGCTTTGAGAATCATTTGCCCAACCATAAAAACTCTAGCTTTGACTGCACCGTAGTAGGCATATGTCATCTTGGCTCGGTATTTTTGAGCCTTTTCTTGTGCCATCTGGCAAAATGCTTTGACGGATTCCAAGTCTTAAATTCGTCTTTGGCCACAAATATCAACATTGCTATCTAGTTTAAATGCAACCAAGATCCATGCAGTTGGTACTAGGACTTCGTTAGGAAGGACAACATCACAGCCATATACCAAAAAATAAGGCGAAAAACTTGTAGTGGTCTTGGATGACGTCCGATGAGCCCAAAGAGTGTCTTGGAAATGAATGCTCCATCCTCCTTTGTACTATGGACCATCTTGCTCAAAATCCTTAACAAAATTTTGTTAGTCGCCTCTGCTTGGCCATTGCCTTGGGGGTAGTATAGAGTAGACTTTTGATGCTTGATCTTGTAAGTATCTAGCAACCTTCGCACATGTTGATTAACAAAAGGAGTTCCGTTGTCACTTACAATTTTGTATGGGATTCCAAAGCGGTAGATTATATACTCCTTGATGAAGTCTAACATGGCTAGACCTATAGCCTTGCGTAGAGGGACAGCTTCCACACACTTGGTGAAATATTCAGTGGCCACCAAGACCCAAATGTAACCCTCGGATGAGGGGTGGATAAGACCGATGAGATCTAAGCCCAAAGTATGAAAGGGCAAAGGAGTTTTCATATCTTGCAACAAATTAGGATGTGAATGAATGAGACTAGCATGAACCTGGCAGGTATGGCATCGCAGGACGAAATCTGCAGCATCTTGTTTCTTACTTGGCCAGCAATAATCATAAGCCAAGAGCTACTCATATAGCTTTCTCCATCCTTGATGCTCGTTACATTCCCTTGTTTGAATTTCGGCCATAACTTTCTGAGATTCCATTAACGATAGGCAACAAAGTGATTCGAAACAAAATTTTGCCATTCATGAAAATCTTTAACAGATCTCTTTAAATTGTGCACATCTTTAGAGGACTCTAACCATATGCCCTCAACGAAGTACTCCATGTAAGGATGGCACCAATCTTGAACGATATCAGAAGAGAAGCATTTTTTGTTTTGATAATAAGTTTGCTAACAAGATACACATTGTTGCTGAAATTTAGTGGCTTACCAAGCCATATCTAGCTAATAGTACCCTGCCCGTTGGATCTGGTGGTATAGGCTTATACGGCTATCTTGGCCACATGTACAATCATGAATTTCTCTAAGTCTATGATAAGCCTTTTATCATTGATGCACTTAGCCATGATACCATTAGGGAGGTGATAATATAGCTTACGGGAGACAATAACATAGCCGAATAGATCTTTTAAAGGCACACTAGATCTTTGCTATAGCGAGGTGTTATAAATCTCATATTGCCAGTCAACATGGTCAGGTAGCTCGAGCAAAGCAAATTCACAACCATGATAGATAGATTGCTCTTTCTGGACAACCTAGACGTTGAAAGGACTCTCGGCCATGGGCACCCTTAAAGCGATCATGGCTAAGGCATCAACCAACCAATTCTTCATCCGTGGCACTTGCTTATACCTTATGCTAACAAAGGATTGCTCCAAGTTTTGGCTAAGAGAACGATATGGTGCAAGATGTTCTTCTCAGGCAGTGAAGGTGCCTTAAACTTGGCCAAGGATTAGACCTGAGTCGCAAATGATTTTCAAGCGCTGTGCACCTAGCCTTTTTAACCGTGGCAAGGCCAATGAGGTTGGCTTCATACTCTGCCATATTGTTTATGACTAGAAATCGAGCTTGAATGAAAATATTGTGTCATGGCTTTTCCCCATCTCTAAGAACAATGCTAGCCCTAGCCCTTTCAACCATGGAAAAACCATCAAAGTGCAGTATCCACTCTTCCTCAATTTCTTGCACAGCAGCAATCTTACCACCTGGGACTTCATCAGAAAAAGGATACTGGACTTTGCTAGAGAATTCAAATAGCAAGTCTACAACAGCTTGTCCCTTGATAGCGATAGGATTAACGCAGGTGATATCATATTGAGATAACTTAAGGAGCCAATTGAGAGACGACTAGTAAGCATGGGTCGAGTTAGAAGGTACCGAATAGGATGAGACTTGGTAATGAGTTGTATTTTGTGAGCCAAAAAGTAATGTCGGAGGCATTGAGATACATAAATCAATGCAAGGCAAATTTTCTCAACAAGAAGGTTTATCGATTCAACACCCTTAAGGTTTTGGCTAACATAATAAATTGATTGTTCTTTGCCTTCTTTATCGTCTTGGGCAACTAGACCACCCATAGCTTTGTCCAAAGTAGACAGATAAACTTTAAGTGGTCTGCCTTGAATGGGAACTAATATGGTTGTCAATTTAAGCATGAGATCTTGCAGATGCAGAAAGGCACGTTGCTGCTCCTCTGTCCATATAAAGTAGCCCTTTCTTCAACAAAGGGTTAAATGCAGATAAAATTTCTACTAGTGCAAGGATGAATCTGTGAATATATGAAACCTTGCCAATAAAGCTTTGTAGTTGCTTGAGATTCTTGGGTAGCTGCATGGCTCAGACGGCTTTAGACTTGGCTAAATCCACACTGATGCCATGTTTCTTCACAAGAAAGCCCAAGAACTTTCCAACGGAGACACCAAATGTGCACTTTGTTGGATTCATTTTCAGTTTGTATAAAAGGCATTTGTCGAAGACTTTTCTGAACACATCAAAGTGGCCCAACCTTGGTTTGGACTTAACCACGGTATCATCAATATAGATTTCAATGTATATGTGGATGAAATCATGAAAAATAGCCACCATGACTCTTTGATAAGTAGCCCCAACATTTTAAGTCCAAAAAGCATAACAACATAATAAAAAGGTTAAACCCTTATTTTGGTCCCTGAACTATTGTACGGACCCCCTATTTGGTCCCTGAACTAAAGAAATCCCTAATTTGGTCCTTGAACTATTGTACGGATCCCTGATTTGGTCCTTAAACTATTGTATGGACTCCCGAGTTAGTCCTTAAACTATTGTACGGATGCCCAATTTGGTCCTTACTATTTACCAATTTAACCCTAACTTGGTCCTTTTGTTAAATAATAGCTCAGGGATCAAATTGGGGCAAAATTGTAAACAGTAAGGACCAAATTGGGGGTCCGTACAATAGTTCAAAGACCAACTTAGGCCAAATTATAAACAGTGGGGACCAAATCGGGGTTCCGTACAATAGTTTAAGGACCAAATTAGGGATTTCTTTAGTTCAGGGACCAAATCGAGGGTCCGTACAATAGTTCAGGGACCAAAATGGGGATTTAACCTAATAAAAATTACTGATAAGAGTGTGAAAAGTAGTCTTCTTTGCATCGCTGGGACACATACTGACTTGATTATATCCACTGTTGCCATCCATGAGGGAATACATCTTGCCGCTAGCAGTATTGTCCATTAGCACATCCATATTTGGAATAGAGAATTCATCCTTTGGGTATGCCTTGTTGAGGTTGCGAAAGTCAACGTTGCATTTGATCTACCTATTCATCTTTCAAACCAGCACGATATTAGCCAGCCAATTGGGCTTCTTGGTTAGCTTAATGAATCCTGCAGCCAAGAGCTTATATATCTCTTCTTTAATTTTAAGCGTGACTCTTGGGTGAAAGGCACAATTTGGCTATACAACTTGTTTTACTTTAAAATCAACATTAGGAGCATCTCATCATAATTCCAGGCAAAGACATCCCTGCATTCCCAAAACAAGTCGATAATATTGGCTCTTTCATTAACAGAAAGAGTGGTGCTGATATGCACAAGTTTAAGGTTCGCTGGATCATGCCCAAGATCAACAACTTCGAGAGACTCTAAAGAAGTAAGTGCTAGTTGAGCCTCATGGAGGGTTTGCAACTTATCTGGTGGTATTGGATGTTGAAAAATCTAGTTGTTCATCAAGTATTTTGTGTCTAGCCTCAAGAGTAAGGCGTTTTGCTTTGTTGGAAAGACCTCGTTCATTAATTATAACCTATCTCTTTGAGGCAAGGAGTAAATGTTTAAAAGGCATGGCCAAACTATTGGGGATGAGGCCACCCCACATATGGTTGAGAGGCCCCAACACTTTCATAAAGTATACTTCACTCTCCCATTAAGAAGGACAGTTCGAGTGCATTTTGGGCGTGCTTAGACAGCCTTTGTTGCCTCTTTCTTCTACCTCTTATTTTCTAGGATACTTCGTAGGTCAAGATTAGGGTTATCTTTGATGTTGTTCTATGTTGGCAAAGCAGTGCCACTTGGACGAGATATTGTTGCTTCGTTAGAGAGAGCGAACTCATCATAAAAAGCAGCCTCAGTGAAGTGTGTCTCAGTCTAATCGAACAACAATGGATTGGCGGAGATGCAAAAAATCTTTCCATTTTGATGACCCTTGACACATTGGTGATAAGTAAAAGAAATAATTTTATGTCGAGGCAGCCATGGTCATCCCAGTAATACATGATAAGAGACATCCGCATCAATAACATAAAAGGTAGCTTGAGATTGGATTGGACCAACCTTTAATTTGAGCTGAATGTATCCAAGGGCATGTTCACTACCGCTGCCAAAGCCAATAATGTTGAGTGGAGACCTGACGATCCTTATCTGGGGGATCCCTACAACAATGATGGTGCTCAATGGTATCAAGTTGAGAGATGATCCAGTATCGACAAGTGCACGTATAATACCGATAAAATTAATCTGAGTAGATAAATAAAGAGGCTTTCTATGGTCAGGATATGGTGCCTCCATATCTTCGTCAGTGAATGTGATGGCATTAAAGGATTCAAGATAAGCACGGTTAGCATGTGCTTCGACATTAATGCATTCTCCTCTTGCCTCATCAACGATAGAGAGGATGGCTTCTGTAGCTTTTCACCGTGCTTTAGCAATGAGACCAAGTTGATCAAACAACATCCTGAACATTGGAGCTCGCTGGAGTGCACAGACAGAGAGGTTGAGTGCATTAGCAGGAAATTCAACTATTGGTGCACTTGTTTTAGTGCTCCCTACATGGGTAAGAACGTTGACAGTGCCTTGGTTATGGCATGGAAAAGGATCTTCGTTCACTCTTTATCTCCTATTCAGGACTTTTAGCAATCCTTCCAAGACCTATCAATGATATATTCTTCTTAGGGAAAAGCAGTCCATGGTTGAGTGGTGGACAAAGCAGTGATAACAACAGTACTTGGGATTGCACTTGTCATCATCACTGGATTGCGAAGTGACTGAGGCAACAGAATGGCATCATCAATGATCCACTTATCTAAGATCACGTCAAGTTTTTCAACAGTTAGAAGGATGGGAGGTAGTGGTGTTGTGTCATGATCCCTCCTTTTTTGACCTTGTCTTTAACTATAGATAGAGACAGATAAGGTATGAACGATGGCTTTCCTTTCTGCCAGCTTCGCCATAGACTTCCCAATAGACATGTTTTTGACAAAAATGGCTGTCCTTCTAGCAGCATCCAAGAGTTTTGCAAATTGAGTGATTATGATATTTTTAAGGACAACACGATACTTTGGAATTATGTTGTTGATGCAAATCTCTACCAGAAAGACTCAGCATGGCCGCTGTAGCAATCAAGTGCCAAATCTCTAAGCCTCTTCACATAAACCATCAAATCCTCATCGGTACATTGGCAAGTGTTGTGGAGATCAAGGATGGTGATGCGTTCTTCACTTTGAAAGTATTTTTGGTAGAATTGTTCAACCATCTCATCCTAGGAACGAATAAAGCCAGGAAGCAGAATGGTGTACCACATGTAAGCTTTATCAGAGAGAGATTTTGAGAACTCACGAAGGCACAAATCTTTATCACCAACATGAACCTCCATGGCATCAAGGAGCTTGTTGATGTGCTCTACAGCACTGCCCTTCCTTCAATCATATTGCGGGAACACATGACTCTCATATTTCTTCGAATAAGGCTTGGACAGAACCTCTTTTGGGTTGGGTGGATCGTGAACAAATTGGAAGGTGATTGGACCTTGCCTAGAATGCTCCCTATTTAAAAAAGCATTGAGATCTACCATGGTGACAAAGCCTTGAGTAGAGTCAACTACGTTGGGCGAAGCTCCATTAGTGCTAGCGGCTGCAATTGTTGGTGGAGCCGACTTATGTTGCTATGCAGTGGAACCCCCATTACCATCAGTAGCCCTAGTCTAAACTTCTTGTTGTTGGTGTGGCTGAAACGTTCCAACTATGTTGGGTGGTTGACCATGGTCTTGCACGGTATGTTGAGTTTGCAAGTTGGCGAGGAGCTAGTTGGTCTTTTGTTGGTCCTCATGCAAGACCTAGATAATCTAGACCAAAGATGCAAGGTTTGGGTCAAAGATTCCTTGCAAGAGATCATTGAAAGCATCCATTGACAAACATGGCTGCTGACCTTCGCATCCATCATCTTGACCAGGTTACTAATTTCCATCGGCAATGCAAGACGAAGGTGCCTTTGTGATAAGTATGGTCAAAAAATTTTTGCAAGAGCCGAACAGATATTACTGAGGAAGAATGTTGAAAATATTTTACCGCCGAAGAGAAGCAGAACAGGATGAAGCTCTAAGACGACCTCCCCAACGGAGTTGCCATTTTGTTGATGAAAGTTGGTGATGTAGGATGATGAGTCATCAGTAGACATGATGTGGAGGCCGATTCAGATACCACCCGTAGAGGAACAAGGAGGGCTCTTTTGGCAACACCCATTTAACGTGCTGAAAGCTACATGCCACGGGCCATCTTGTTCTACCTAGCAGTGATAGCTGACAACAAATTTCCCAACAAAGTCATTGACCATAAATTCTCCAACCAAGCCGAGGAAAAGAAGGCTGAATAGAAAATAATAGAATCTCAAGAAACAAGGATGATTACACAAGTAACAAAAAGGTAATGAAGAAATAGATGTCATAATAAGGGCAACATGGACGGAGGGTACATGAGAGTCAAAGATTACAACTTGAGAATTACATTTACATAAAGTATTGCAACGTGATAATAATGACAATAAATACAACCTCTATTATCTCTAGTAAATATCTTCACTCTATAATGAGTAACCCTCATATTATAATTAGAAATATAACAATCTCTCATTGGAAATTCTTTCGAGATCAAAAAGGATAAGCTTGAAAGTGGTGATAAAAGAAGGAAGGATGACCTTTTAGGGGCTTTCAAGTAGAATGGTTGATCCCATCTTTGATATTAACCCTACAACTTAATCCTCTGATGCTCAAGAAAACTTACCCAAAAGCTGAAACTGCATCATGTCGTCTTTTAGCCATGGTGAGCTATAATGCTGGAAATTATCACGCAGTGCTAAAGGTGTAGGAAATAATGAAGTAATAATTTTTGGAGGTTTTGACGTGTGAAATTAAGGGTTGAAGAAGATTGGAGGTCTGGTGCACAAGAAGATGGAAAATCATGAAGGGTCCATTTGTTGTCTTTTTTTTTTTTTCTAGAAAATAAGGAGAAAAAATAATATATACATGTGCAATGGTATTTTTGTGATTTTTAGGTTGTGCAGTGGCTAATAGGTGGATTTGGATGAGCTGTCAAGCTTCTAGTAGCTTTGGACACTGTTGACAATTCTTTGGTAGTGGCATCATGAATTGCCTAGTGGTTCTAGTGAAGAACTTAAAATTGAATATTTATGGTATTTACTCCAACTATTTGAAATCCCATTTTTGAGGAGGTGCTTAAATGTAGCCAGCAAAAACAACACCGACACAAGATTTTGGTGGAGTCCCCAGGGTCTGCGCAGGATTTTTGGAAGATTCTTAAAGCAAACAATAATCTTTTCAACAGTTTCTAAGGCCATGGAACTTATGCAACCACCCTTGCATTACATATGGCTACAACTTGTTGATGGTGACCAAAATAACATCTTAGGTTAGTTTTTAATGAGGTTTTAAGCCTCTAATTAGCATCAAAGGGTATTGTTTTGGGAATCAAGTCCATTTTCACACCTTCACCCCTTAACCCTTTCTGGTGAAGTCGGGCAACATCGCCAGTGCCAAGCCTCATTGGTGTGAATACCTCGCTTCACCAAACAAGCAATGTTCACCCATCCATGGCTGCCAAGCCACTACTTCCATAGTTTATCCCGAGTAATTCCCATGAGCTTGGATTCATGGACTTGAGTTCATCTACAATGAGAGTAAGATACAAATAAGTATATATTTAAATATTTAAGTGTAAAATATATGGACATATGTAGCGAAGAAGGATACTTCCTTGTGTATTAAGGGGGACGATGGGGATGGATGTTCGTTGCACCCTTTTGCTTCCTAGCCATGGCAAATACTTATATGATGTTGTTATGTATGGCTGGAATGGCTCCAAGGCAAAGAAGAGGCGATATGGATGTGTGTTGTGATATCATTGTCCCTAGCCAAGCATCATTGGCCAGCAATACCTACTAAACACGTAAAGCATAGAAGATTTATGTTATAAGTCAGGATTATCGATGACCAATAATTTTATCCCTTTGTGTGAGAAAATAATGATGCGCATGGCCGTGAGCCATATAGATATTATAGGGTTAGCCATGAATAACTTCCTTATAGGCAAAGGGACAACAGTGGCTAGCTTTGCCTATGGTTGGAGCGTGAACTATGTGGAATGGAAGAGCATTCCCACTAATCCACCAAGTCACGAAGGGAGTAAATCTCATTAAGCCAGACTCCACCATAGCGATGAATATGTGTAGAGAGAGGTGGAGTTGTCTCTGTGGAAGGGGGACACCAACTGCATCCATGGCCTCCAATACGATGAGGTGTGATACCATTGACAAACGTTGGCCTTTCTTGCCATACCCATACCATCAAAGAGTGGTCTTAGTTGTTGTTGCCTGCCGAGCACCGCACCACCATACTTAGGCAACCAACAAGGGACTGCAAAGCCACTACTTGATGGATTTTTATTGCTGGAGGGTAGTCATCCCATCCAATCGCAGGGTTGCAACTGTTATCAACCTCACGCTAATCGTATCGAGTTGCGTTGACTTTTTGTCTATTTTCAAGAACCAGTGAGATAGAATATGCAGAGATGTGTAGTTATCGCTTGGAGCCACAAGAGTTAACAGTGAATATCATTACAAGAGACATTATTGTCAAAAACGTCCTACCATGTTGTGGAGATAGATCTAGCCATGTCTGGCCGTGTATATAAAAATGGTTGTTAGAGTGGATTGCGCTTTGCAATGTTTACAGTAAAGTAAACAAATGTCATTTTGGCGATGCTGACTCTATTGCAATAATTAGTAGGAAACAATAGTAACATGCTTGATGTGGAAAGTAAGTTGCATGGGCCCTTGTTGATGTAGGCTTATGCATGTCATCAATCTCAAGGACATACAAATCCATCCCTCAACAAAAAGTGAGGAAGTTGGGGCTGCTCAAAAGAAGAGGATGGTGGAAGAGCATCAAGAGGAAAGAAGGGACAAGATAGTGGAGTTCATACCTTGCCCTTCTCCAGTTGAGCTCGACCCAGAACCTAGAGAGGTTGGGGTGACAACCCCACGGGAAGGGAAAAAGCCTTGTTCCCCCTCCATCAATGCAAACTAGTTTGTTTGACATGAAGAGTGTAATAATTGCAAAAAGGTCTATAAATGCAAGTTTCCCTGAAGTGGATTATTGTCGAGAAAGAGAGGAGGTACTAAGCCATGGTGGAGTTGGGATTGTTTGGCATGTCCTTGAGGTATGGTTGGATTTTATAACAAAAGTTTCTTTTTATTATTATTATTATTATTGTGGGGTATTGTCATCTGTAAATTTGGTGAATGCGTTGTCGCAAGAGTTTTTTGAGACTCTTAAGGAGCGTAACACCTTAGAGAAGGAGAAGGAGAAGAAGGAGTTGGGGAAGAAAAAGGAAGAGGTGGAGAAGGATTTGGTGAAGGTGATGCCGAAGCTTAAAGAGTTTCCAGAGGAAAATGATTCATTGAAGACGAAGCTTGTGTTTGAAGAAAAAAAGAAGAAAATGTGCGAAGATAAGGCTGCTGCTGAGCTGGGGAAGAGTGTGAATTTGTGGGTGCACAATGCAATGAAGGATCACATTGTTGAGTTTCTTTAGTCCAGCACATTCGACAACATTATGAATCTGTACCAACTGCCAACTGCAATTCTTACCTTCACAGACTACAGAAAAACGGTGAAAGCTCAACATCCCGAAGTGGATGTAATAGGTATCACCTTCGAAGAGCAAAGAGGAGTGGAGGAGAATGGTGAAAGTAGGACGGTTGACTTTTGTCTCGAGATCAAGCTGAAATGGGATCACAACAATGAAGGTCGTACTGTTTTCCCTCCAAACTTCAACTTTGAGTTCATTGTAGTTGAGGAAGAAGAACCAGAGGTGGCCAGGGGTGCTAAGGTTAGGGAGAACGAACCAGAGCAAAAAGTGAACTAGCCACCTCCACTAGTAAAGTAGCCATCCTTATTTTGATGATATCTTTGTTTTGTTTTGATATTTGAATAATTTGATTGAAGCATTTTTGTAATTTTATAAATTTATTTGATTGATACATTTGTGATTTGTTCTGTTCACCTATTTCATCTCGTGGTCATTTAAGATAAAAGTTGAAATAGAATCTGAGATCACCTCGAATATGAGGTGGAATTCACATTAATGGAATATAAGTTCAAGAATTGAATAGAATAAAAAATAGAACTCAAACAGAAGAATCAAGAAATGTGAAGTAAAATTAGACAAAATTCACTAAAGGGATTAAATTAAGGATAAAACTTCTTCAAATTGTTGACATTCCAGACTTTAAAAATCCTTTTTCCCTCAATGTCTTGAAGAACATAGGTGCCTCGATATGGCACCTCGATGACAGTGTAAGGGCCTTCCCAGTTCAAAGTTAATTTGCCAAACCGGGTTTCAAACCTTGTTAGACTAGCTTTTCTAAGAACAAGGTCGCTAACTCTGAATGTTCGAAGACGTACTCATTTGTTGTAAAAGTTGGCTAACTTCTGCTTGTATAACAATGTTCGAAGTCAGGATTCCTCTTTGACTTTGGCAACCAGATCAAGGTTTTTCAGAAGTAGTTGTCCATGTCATCCTTCATCAAAATGGGTGACCCTAGAGATTAGGACTCCTATCTCAATAAGAAGGATTGCTTCAATACCAAAGGTCAGGTTGTATGGTGTTTCACTTATTCCATTGAATTATTATTTTAGCATATGCTTTATATGTTTTACATATTTTAACTAGGAAAGAAGTAGTAGGAAATATGTAAGAAAAAGATATGAAAAGAGACCAGGTCAAAAGACGTTACTTGTGGCAATTCAGCTAGTAATTCTATATGCCCATAGCACGTTGTTGAGCATGTTTGCCCACCTTGTCTTATGTTGCTCCAACCTCAATTTTATTCCTTCTAGAATAGCTTTGTTGACTGATTCCACCATTCCATTGGATTGCAGATGGTACATTGAGGTAAATTGTAGCTTAATTCCATAGCTAGAACAAAAATCTTTGAATGAGGCACGGTTGAATTGCTTTCCATTGTCAGAGATGATTTGGTTTGAGATCCCATATTGGTAAATGATTGAACTGAAGATAAAGTCTTCAATCTTCTTGGAGGTTAGGCTGGATAATGACCAAGCTTCAACCCACTTTGTGAAATAGTCTACTCCAACTATCAGGTGTGTGACTCATCTTACTCCTTTCACAAATGGGCCTAAGAGATTAAGTCCCCACTGAGCAAATGGCCATGGTGCTACCAAGTTTGTGAGTTCTTCTGCTAGTTAGTGAGTCAAATGTGCAAAGAATTGGCACTTTGAGCACTTCTGCATGAAATTTGTGGCATCCTTTTGCATATTAAGCCAATAGTATCCTTGCTTGAGAACTTTATGAGCCAGTGTCCTAGCCCTAATGTGACTTCCACAAACACCCACATGTACCTCCCAAAGTGCGTATTCAGCCTCATAAAGGGTTAAACAATGTAGCAAAGGGAGTGAGAACGATCTCTTGTAAAAGATCCCGTCGATTAAGGTGTACCGCGCTGCCTTTCTCCTCAATCTCATTTCTTCTTACTTATCTTCAAGAATAGTGCCATCCTGTAAGAGACTTAATTGGATCCATCTAGCTTGGAGTGTTTGGATCTACAATAATCTCCATCGTTATTGGCTTTTGGAAACTAGGTTCATTTAGAACTTCAATAAAGACTGACCTTGTGGCTTGAGAATTGTTAGATGCGAACTTTGAAAGGGAATTTGCTTATTTATTTTTTGATCTGGATATTTTACTCAGAGTGACTTTTTCGAATTTGCTCCTGAATTTCGACACCAGTGCCACGTACTTCATCAGAGTAGAGTCTAATACCTCACAAACCGAGTTGACTTGATTAACCATAAGTTGCCAATCACTATAGATTTGAATAGCTCTGACTTTCAACTTTAATGCCAGTTGGAGACCGAGCAACAAAGCTTCATATCCAGCCATATTATTAGTGGCATCAAAGTTAAACTTCAAAGCGTGCTCACTTTGGTAACCATCTGGGCCTACTAGGACTGCCCCAGCTCCTAACCCTTTTTTGTTTAATGCCCCATCAGCATATAGAACCCATGTATCTAGCATGAGATTTGGACTTAACTAATTAGAGTTGCACTCAACAACAAAATTTGTCAATGCTTGAGTTCGAATTGCTAACCTCTACTCAAATGTTATTTCAAATTCCCCCAACTCAACTGCTCATTTGATTAACCTACCTGAACACTTTTGGTTTTGTAAGGTTTGCCGAAAAGGTTGATCTATGAGGACAACTATCGAGTGTGACTAAAAATATGGTCTTAGTTTCCTAGCTGAAGTGATAACAGCTAAAGCAACTTTTTTAGCAATTAAGTATCTCTGCTTTGCTCCATGTAATAATTTGCTCATATAATATACAGGCTTTTGCTGCTTTCCTTCTTCCCTCACTAATACGGAACTAATTGCCTTATCCAAGATTCTGAGATACAAATAAAGAATCTCACCATCAACAACTTTAGTTAACAACGGAGGCAAGTTAAGATAAAACTTAAGCTCATCAAATGCAACTTGGCATTTTATAGTCCATTTGAACTTTTTTAGCTTGCTCGATTCATCTTTTTGAGTCGTTGATCTCATGATCTTGAAAAATGAAAGGCACTTATCAACTGACTTCGAAACAAACCTGTGAAGGGCTGCCACTCTTCCAATCAACCTTTATACATCTTTAACTGACTTTGGAGGTCCGATCTCTTCTATTGCTTTGATCTTTTCCAGGTTGATCTCTATTCCTCTTCTGGATATCATGAAATCCAGAAATTTTCTATACTCCACCATAAAAATGCACTTTGCTAGATTCAACCGCATCTTGTTCTTCCTCAAATTATTGAAAGTTTCATCAAGGTATGGTCCTCAACTGTCAGACTTTTCACCACAATGTCATCAACATAAACTTCCAAATCTGAACCCTGCACACAATGGTTACCATCTTCTAATACGTGGCACCTGCAGTCTTTAAACAGAAGGGCATCATGACATAGCAGTAAATTTCACCACCAGAATAGAAAGAGCTTTTTTCTTCATCTCCAAGCGCCATTGGAACTTAATGATATCCTGAATATGTGTCTAAGAGACTTAATCTCTCATTCTCAAAAGCTGCCTCAACCAATTTATTAATGTTCGACATCGAATAATAGTCCTTGGGACAAGCCTAGTTGAGATCAATGTAATCGATACACATCTCCATTTACCATTAGCTTTTTTAACTAAAACTGCGGTGGTGATCCACTCACAATAGTTAACCCTATTTACGAAGCTTACTTGTAGGAGTTTCTCCACCACTTCCTTCAACACCTCAAGTTTTTCTCCCCCGAATGCACATCGTTTTTGTGCAACTAGTCTTTTCAAGGGATTAGTGCTGAGCTTGTGCATAGATATCAAGGTTGGAATCCTTGGCATGTCGGCTGAGGTCTAGGCAAACACATGATTGTTAGCTCGGAGCCAAGTAATTAACTTTGCTCTTTCTTCTACGTTCAGGTGGGTCCCAATCTCAGTTTTCCTATTCAGAGCTCTGTAATCAATATGTACTTCCTCAACATCTTCAACTAGAGCAGGTCGAGTTTC